CCCAGCGGACCAAGCCCCTGACCCCGCGTTGTGTCAAAGGCGTCTTGGAGCCCCGAGTCTGGTAGCAAGCGCTATCTAGGGGTTCATGATGGGTTTAGGGTTTAGGGTTAGGGTTTAGGGCTACTTGGGGGTTCTTACGCAATGATAACGGTACCTATATAAGCACCTGAAGTGGCCCAATATGGTCAAAAGTACAGTTATAACTGGCTAATAAGTACCATGAGCCTCCAAGTATCTAGGGGTTCTACCTTATAGTTATCACGGAAACACCAAGTTGTAAACACAAGCACTGAGGTGGTAGTACCGTTAAGCCATGCAGGAGCGAACGCTCTATTTTCTACTGCAGAGGGCCTGCGAGGTAATGCAACGGGACGATATGCACATGATGTTCAAATGCAAGGGTTATCGCAATGCAAAACTACACCCCCCTCGCCGAGTATTGGCAATGAGAAGGCGGACTGCACTGCAACCCTGAAACAACACTGAGCGCACATCGGCCTCGTCTTGCGACGGGCAAGCGATCACCTCGCAGGAGTTGAAAAAGTGTTTGTGTTCTCTAAGACATGCTCACACGGCAGCACGTCAAACACATGCGAATTCGATTTTTGCTCCGAGGGGAAACAAAAGTCCGAAAATGCTTGCACTTCTAAACTCCAACGATCACGTCAAACCCGGAGGTGAGGATCAAATTGGTACCGTCAGCCGTTAAATCGAATTGCGGCGCCGGTAGCTTCGGAGTTGTCACGATGTGACCAATTGGAAATCGGGCAAAAAGACTATTCATCTTTCTACTTGTGCAAAGCAACAATGATTATTGGCCTCCGCGTTAGCGGGGCGATATCAGTCGGAGTTGCCTACAATTCGGCTCCATAGATGGAAAGAGTTGGTCTACAGCTCGGATGGGGTGGGGAGTGGTTTCACCACCGACGATTCCATCGTCCCCCCTGGCGATAGTTGTCCGTCCACTCATAGCGTGGGGCACGGTTCTGCTCGCCTTTTCCCCTTCCTTTCGTCTTGGCTGATGCACTCTTTGCCTGTGCCTCACGTGATCGCCGGGCCTCTTCGTCCTTCGCCAGGTAAGCTCTCTCTGCTGGCCCTTGATTCTTGCGAACGAGGTCGAGAATCCAAGCCCGGTTCTCGTCGAGGGACCAGTGAGAGCTACCTTTGATCGGCTCTGTGCCAATGAAAGTGACCAAGCGATGAATCGTATCGGACTTCGCAAGGATCTGGATGAAGTCCTCCACGCTCATGATGGCCCCGATCCAAGACACAACGAAGGCAGGATCGTCCGGCGTGGTCGCTAGACCCGCGGCAATCAGCTCCTGAGGCGTGCAATTGACGAAAATCAGCCGAGCTGTGGTGCCTGGAAGCGAGCACCAGTGCCGTGGGATCCTACCCCTAGGCGACGTTGTGTTGTGCCTCAGTTCTTCCTTCATGTGGCAGAGCAGCGTTAATTAGCAGTTGAAACACACGCATGTCGTCAACTCCATGACCTTGGTCAATCATCTGGAGTGCGAACAGTGCGTCACCGCGGAACCTGTCCATTATGCCCTCGAAGCCCAAATTACGTGCACGCTTGGCCATTTGCTTTGCCTTAGCAAGCGTCTCGGCCTCAGGCGAAATAGCGCCACGAGTACCTGCATCTCTCCGCATCTCCTGGAGGATGTCGCTTTCTGAGAGGTCTCGATGGCGCCGGCCCAATGATGCTGCAGCACATTCCTTGGCGAAGTAACGTGCCGATTGCAGCTTCCTGCGATGCAGTTGGGAACGAGGGGCAATGAAGGACTGACCTCAGTGGATGCAAAGGGTCTGGCCGATGAGGTAGTCGTGCGCGCACTTGGGGCATACCCTTTTCGCATAGCTGACACCGCTCGCCTGCTCGGTCGTCTCGGCTTCATCTTCGGCCACTGCATCTTCCACGACGATGGTTGTGTCAATGGCTGCAGCGCTCGAAGTGCGAGACATGTGTGGCTGATCAGTCTCCATTGGATCATCGGCCTCAGCGTTAGCTGGGCGAGATGACCCTTCGGTCGATGGCCTTGTCCAAATGTAGGATCCATCCCTAGTGTCGCGCACGTAGAGTGCACACGTGCCAGGGACTTCTTCTGAACAGAGGACACCGTCACTTTCGGAGATGAAAAGCCATGCGTGCTGCAAAACAAGCTTCGTCTCATAAACGATTTCTATGGGTAGGTCGGCACGCACGCCGCTTTTGACCTGGAGATCCTCGAGCGCTGCTGGGGCAAAATAGTTGTGTGCCTTGCCCGAGTCTCCGAACCCAGGTTTCATCGACCCCTCAACAATCGCCAACGCAGCATCTCTGGTAGTCCTGTGGTACAGTCGAGGAGGACTCTTTTCGATGGGTATTAGCGGCCTACCTGCGAAGGTGGCGGTATCCCCGATCTCCTCTGCACTCTGAGGGCTAAGCCAGGACACTGCGAGGTCGTTGTCGGCGAAGCGGTCCCGGGCCGTTTGGGCGTGACCCTGGGCACAATGGATCCAGATTGGATAGAGGTTTTGACCGAGTGCCCGGGAGCGAAGAGCATCTGGCATACACCGAAGTGAGAATCTCGCTTTGCTGTCATGGTAGACGATCGAGAAGATGCTTCTTGCAAGATCTTGAACCGCTTCAACACGATGTCGATCCATGTTCGGTCCTACGACCGCCCCGAACGATGGACCCTAACCAAACCAGTGATCCCCTTCATGACGTAGTGGGGAAGGTCGGCTTCTTCTTCGTGCTTCAATTCTGACTGGAGCACGTGGACCATTCTGGGGTCGTCGAACGGGATCGAGTTGAAGATGCTTCGGTCGATTCCACGCATCTCATCAAAGTTGAGTTCTTCTGAGCGGGACCACCCCAAATAGTAGTCTTCCACGTCGTCAACGAAAAGAGATGGTTCGGCCTCTGCTTTCGCAGGGCTAGCCCTCTCCTCTGTCTTGGACGACTTCACCTTGGGGGTAGGGAACGATCCACGGTGCGCGGCGCTTGACCTGCTCGAATGAGCGACTGTCGAGCTCTATGTTTCCTTCACCCTCGCGCTCGGGATCTTTTGAGCTCGAAGCCGGCGTTTTTCTTTCGGGACGCGAGATCAGCGTCGCGAGCCTTGATCTTGTATCGCTCGTCTGCATCTCTCCTTAGATGCCATTGTTTGTGGCCTCCCAAGCGATAGTTGCTCGTCTCGCGGGCAATCTCGTCTTGAGAGAGTTCCACGTATGGTTCGACATCTGGGGCAATGGTCCTTTGCCAAGGTTCGAGAGTGAATGCCCGCGCCGGAACCATGTTGCGATAACCGGCGCTACTTTTTGTCCACTCCGATTCGAACTCAGCAGGGACTCTTGTAGCGTCCTCCCTCGCGAAAGGGGTACTCACGGGCAAGCTCCTGCAAAAAATCCTCCGGGATGTGCTGGACCATGTCCTGGACTGCGGCCAATACCGACAGTGCTGCTGGGTAGTTTGCCAGGCGGTTGCGGCTTTCCCTGTCCTCCCGAAAGTGGTACATATCGTAGAGGGGCAGCTCGCCAGCCATGTTCGCAAACTCGAAGACGTTGCACCCCTGACCCTTGGCGTAAGAAAGCAACACCTTCATAGTCTCCTCCCATTGGTGTGGCAGACTATAATGCGTTGCACGCCCTGGTCCAGTGAACGAGATCGCTCCGCAGCACGGCCTGCCCTTGAGGGCGGCGATACGTCGAATGTTGCCACATACTCCACTGGCGTTCTGCGACCAATGGCCCTCAGCGGCGTAGCCCTCCGGGGGCATGTTCCAGCGCTGGAGGTCTGGGGGGATAAAGACCCCATAGTTGCCGAAAAGCTCGTTGCCCTGCCACACAACTAATATGTCGATCAGTTGCTGCGCCTGCTGTTCGGGGGACAACTGGGCCACCATCTCTTCGAAGGTCTCGACCACTGTGTCCCTGATCTTCCGGAGGTTGCCTCCCCAAATTGGTTGCACTCGCACCGTGGCGTAGTGATCCAAAGGGGCCCCCAACGAGGTCATCGCCTCCATGTCCTCAGCAATGGTGGATGCAGTTTTGGCACCTGCCTTGGAGTAGAGGGTCGAGTCACCAACAACTAACAGCTGCCTAATGCCACCTCTTCCCGAGGCGGGGTGCAAGAGGGCAAGACCCTCATCGGCCACAGCCGTTAGGCGGGCGATATCCGACACTGTAGAATTGTCCTTGATGGCCAATGACGTTGCTGTCTGGACCGGGACTTCGTTGTACAAGTATCGGATGCCCTGGGTGTAGAAGGGGTTAATGCTGAATCGGAATTCTTCAGCAAACACAGCCCTCCACAAAGAGCCAATCCACCATGAGGCACAGTCCTCGCGTGTGGTAGCAGCGACGGGTCGTCGCTTGTGGACAACGCACTGTCCCAACAGCCAAACCCTTAACCCCTCAGGTACTTAACTTGGACTTGCTTTGCGCGGACACAGAAGAGACTCGACGGGTTCTGGGGGTCCGGATGACGTGGTTCAAGCTCTGAGGACGAAGCGACGTAGACTGACTTGTTTCTGCAACTGCGAAACAGCCCAGGAACCCCATAAACCCTACCTGGGACTCTATTTCCCTACAGTTTCGTAGTAGCTACCATTAGTAGGTATAACCCTTAAAACTGCAGGTAAAGAGGGTCCAGGTATACCCCAAACATCCCCAAACATCCCCAAAGCCCAACAACAGAGGAGATACGTGAGCTGCTCATCAGCTGGGGCAACAGCAAGAAGCGCGATAAAGGAGGACGTAGTGAAGGGATAGGGTTAATCGCAAGATTTTGTAAGCCCGCTATTACAGTAGGATTCTTAGGCAACTTGCTACAAATACGGCTTCCCTAAACCCGAAAACCTAAACCCCCTTCAGGGGAATTCTTAAGCTAAGAGGTCAGGACTTGTGGGGACTCACGGGGGCTGTTCTCGACACCCTGCAACCAGACAGATACGATCCTCAAGAATGTATGCTTAGGGGTTTAGGATTTAGGGTTTGGGGTTTGGGGCCGGGTCTCAGATCAGCCACAGAAAGAGGCGGTCGAAAAGGTTGCTGCCGGTCAAGCTTGCGACGCCCATGTAGAAGAACACGCCCTGCAGCACGGCACGTGGCAGGAACTTCAGCGCCCCAGGAAGAGTGCTGGGCACTGTCGCGGCCACGGAAAAAGGCAGGCCCAATACAACCCAGACAGGCAGCATCAAAGCTCCCCTGACAAACCTTAAAAATGTCTTTGGCAACCCTTACGAAAACATCTGACCCGTATAATTCCGTATAAAGGGAACCTGCTCCAAAAAGTACAATGATTCTTGCAAGAGCTGGCCAATAAGCAGAACCAAATGATAGCCTGGCCCCTTCTGCAGGTTGTTGGAAGGCCTGTTCACGATCACTGACGTGAGGTTCTGGTCCAGCTAACCCAGCACGGCGAAACCAATTGCCCAGACCCAAGATAATAGAGGAATAAAACAAGGAAGGGTACATACGGAAATTGAGGGGCGGCCTAGGCCCTGAGTTTAGGGTTTAGGGTTTAGGGTTTAAGGTTTTAAGGTTTCGGGGCTTTTTTCCAAGGCCACGAGACCAGATCGCGCAGGAACAGTTCGTCCTTCTCTCTATCTCTCTCTCTCTCTCTCTCTCTCTCTTTTCCTTCCTCTCTCTCTCTCTCTCTCTCTCTCTCTCTCTCTCTCTCTCTCTCTCTCTCTCTCTCTCTTCTCTCTCTCTCTCTCTCTCTCTCTCTCTCTCTCTTTTCCTCTCTCTCTTTTTTCCTCTCTCTCTCTCGCTCTCTCCCTCTCTCAAAATTGTTGGAAAAAAACTCGAACCGAGCCGAAATAGCTGCGGTCTAGGGTTTAGGGTGTAGGGTATAGGGTTTAGAGTTTAGGGTTTAGGGTTTATTTGACCGCCTGCACCAGATGTGGCTGGCGGCCGGCATTCCCAATGGTTGTTGGAAGGCCTGTTCACGATCACCGACGTGAGGTTCTGGTCCAGGTAACCCAGCACGGCGAAACCAATTGCCTAGACCCAAGAATAATAGAGTAAGAAAAAAGGGAAGAGTACATACGGAAACCCAAACCCTAAAGCCATTGAATAAACCAGCCTTGGAGTCAGGGATGTTAAGGTTTCAGGTCTTGTGGGACTGGGTGCAGGTGCGGATGTGAGTGTGAGTGTCAGTGCGAGGGCAAGTCCGAATACGATGTGCGAGCGCGTGAGCGCGTGAGCGCGAGAGTGTGAGTGCGAGAGTGAAAGTGAGAGTGAGGAGAGTGTCTGTGTGTGTGCGCGTGCGTACGACCAGGGGTGTGAATAAGTCTGTTTACCCGCTATTTAACCCTATCTTCAGACAATCTCACTCCAGGGTAAAAGGCTGTTTAAAAGAAAACACAACGCTTCCCAGGCCTCTCTCCTGCGCGGCCCGATTAAGAACACATCACTGTCCTGGAGCTCGGACCGCATCACTGTTCGCGGGTAACGCGCGCCATTCTCCTCGTGACCTAGGTCACGAGGAGAATGGGGCGCGTTACCCGCGAACAGTGATGCGGTCCGAGCTCCAGGACAGTGATGTGTTCTTCTTGCACAATCCACTGCCGCCGCCGCTCCCTGGCGCGGGTCGGGGCCGCCGCACTTTGAAACACCCTAAACCCTAACCCTACACCTGCCTAGACCCTAAACCCTAAACCCTAAACCCGGAGCCGAGGGCGCCTGTGGCGCCGTAAATCCCGAGGAAGCCCAGGGCAAAGTTGGAGATCGCCATCCCCGCAGCGCCGGTGATGAACAACAGGGACCGGCGCCCTGTCTTCCTTGGATTTAGGGCTTAGGGTTTAGGGTTTAGGGTTTAGGGTTCGGGGTTTAGGGTTTAGGGTTTAGGGTTTAGGTTAGGGTTTAGGGTTTAGGGTTTACCCTGGGTCCTCTTGAATTTAGGGTTTACCCTGGGTCCTCTTGAAGTCTAAACCCTAAACCCGAAAAACCCTAAACCCTGCATCCTGGGACCCAGACACCCAGAACCTACTTGGGTTTAGGTTTTAGGGTTTAGGATTTGGGGTTTAGGGTTTAGGATTTGTGGTCTAGGGTTTGGGGTTTAGGGTTCAGGGTTTAGGGTTTAGGGTTTGGGGTTGAGGATACAGGGTACATGGTACAGGGTTGAGGGCTTAGGTCGAGGCACTGAACAATGCGAGAGGAGAAACACACTACGGAGTCCGGAAGCTGCACCCCTTCAAAGCTCTGGTTGAAACCATATCCGAAGGTCAAGGTCTGTAGGCCGCACCCCTTCCAAGTTCTGGTTGAAATCATTGCCGAAGCTCAAAGTCTGTAGGCCGCTGGGAAGCTGCACCCCTTCCAAGCTCTGGTTGAAGGCCAAGGTCTGCAGGCCGCTGGGAAGCTGCTCCCCTTCCAAGCTCTGATTGAAAGAAGCGCCGAAGGTCAAGGTCTGTAGGCCACTAGTAAGCTGAACCCCTTCCAAGCTCTGGTTAAAGCGTTCGCCGAAAGTCAAGATCTGTAGGCTGCTGGGAAGCTGCAGCTCTTCCAAGCTCTGGTTGAACTCACGGTCTGCAGGCCGCTAGGCTGTTGGGAAGCTGCACCCTTTCCAAGCTATGGTTGAAACAATGACCGAAGGCCAAGGTCTGCAGGCCGCTGGGAAGCTGCACCCCTTCCAAGCTCTTGTTGAAAGAAGCGCCGAAGATCAAGGTCTGTAGGCCGCTGAGAAGAAACACCCGTTCCAAGCTCTGAGGCGATAGGTCTCCATGCGTTGGATCGCTGCAGCTGCACGAAATTAACACAAGCTCGGACATCACCCTTAGACCAGGCCAGCTTTCTAGCAACTAGGCCCGAACTAGGCCCCTGCGGACGTTCGTTACAATAGTTGCAACCCCAATCAATCTTTCAAAGCCAACCTGCCTGCGCCAGGACGTAGAGTGACGTAGAGGTGCACGCGGCGGATGGGCAGCTATTGGATGTAGTGGTACTGTGGGTACTTGGCCGGGTCCCAGATCAGCCACAGGAAGAGGCGGTCGAAAGGGCTGTTGCCGATCAAGCTTGCGATGCCCATGTAGAAGAACACAGGAACTTCAGCGCCGGCGCCAGGAAGAGCACACAAAGGCCTCAGCAGAAGAAACAAAAAACATGCAGGCTAACTAGCTGCTCTAGGGCTGAGGGTTTAGGGTTCAAGGTTCAGGGTTCAGGGTTTAGGGATGGAACCTTAGAGAAGCTTCCCAAGGGCCTCTTAAGGGCTTCATGTTTAGGGCTTAGGTTTCAGGGCTTAGGGTTTAGGGTTTAAGAATTAGGTAGAATCTCCGCCCCAACCCTCAGCCTTAAACCTGTAGTCATCGTAATCATTGTCATACCCAATCATCACGTCCAACGCGTCCCTATCAGCCAACACTACGAAACTTTAGGGTTTAGGGTTTAGGGTTTAGGGTTCAGTGTTTACGGTCGGTCGAGGGTCTGCGGGGCTTCTTTCAGGAGGTGTAGAGTTTAGGGTTTCGAGGGCCTCTTTCGGCTTAAGAAAATTCAAAGTTTAGGGGGTCAGGGGTTGCCTTCATGAGAAGGGCTGGGTCAGTGGATTCAGGCTTCACAGGGCTCAACCCTAAACCCGAAACCCAAAACCCAAAACCCTAACGTGTGAGTTTGGGAGTCATCATCTCTTTTCTACGTTTCATGGGCTTCCCTACTACCCCCCTCTACACTGCCCCCCTACATTCCCCTCTTAAATAACCTCCACTACGCCTAACTATCCCTAAATAACCTGAGTGATGGGGGGGGCCTAAGGGTTTCGGGCTTTGGCCTTAGGGTTGAGGGCTTAGGGTTCCGGGTTTAGGGTTTGGAGTTTGGGGTTTAGGGCGTAAACCCTCAAACCCCCTGAAAAACTCTGAAAGCCCTAAATCCTTCTGAAACCCTGCATCCTGAACACTCGACCCCTCGACAAGCCAGGGGTCATGAAGACCGTACTGGAGCTGAGCGACCTCACAAAGCTTCTCAACGTACAAGCGGCTGAGCTTCTCGCGATGAGGTTCCTGAACCATAGGTCCAACGGGCATAGCTGGAGCAGCGGCTCTGCGCTTTCTCTGTTCCTCGGCTTCTTCGAGTTCTACCTTCCTGCGATACCTTTCGATGTCGGCCTCACGTTGGGTCCTCGACATAGAAGTCCAGAACTCAGAGGGAGTATCAGGGGGCCTCTTAGAGCCCTTCCTGTTTCGGACAAGTCTCACGCCATCCCAATTGTAACCCTGTGGCACCTTAGAACCATCGGGCATCCTGGTGGGATCGTGAGGCTTCCATGTTGGTTTGATAGATTCAGGGCTTGGTTCGGGAGGAGCTAATGGCTTTGGCTCTCCTACCTCTTCGTTTCCCTTCTCCCTAGCGTCGATTTCGGCGCACCTCCGATCAAGCTCGTCCAACGGGTCCTCTTCTCCTTCAGGGACGTAGTCGGCAAAAAGCTGTTCGATGAGATCGTCCTCGTTGAGGTCAGTAGGCTTGAAAGCAATTCTGATCATCAAGCGACGGGGGTCCTTTGTCCTCGATAGGGCTAGCAAGAGGGAAGGTAAGGTCACCTAGCGCGAGCTCCATGCGTTTGACTCGGAGTATCTTGAGGCTATCGTTCTCGAGGGCATCACGGCATCCCTTTACAGGTGCTACAAGGTATTCATCCTTCCAGATGAAGCCTGGCTGGACATGGTACCCTAGGAAGATGCCTTCCTCTCCAGTCGGTGCAAACTTTGAGCTACCTGTAGCGTTTTGTTTCGGATTATTCCAATAGATGATTCTAGCGCCAAAAGGAATGGCGAGGCCACTGAACTCCTCATCAAAACGATCTACCCAAGGAACGGTCTCGGTGTCGAATCGCTTCGAGGTGTTAAGGGCCATAGCGTGGTGTTGTGCAGCTAGAGGCCACATCTTGTCGGGAAGCCCTGCCTGAAGCAGGTTGGCACGAGTGCCTTCGAGAACAGTCCTGATCTCGCGTTCGATGACAGCCTTGTTTTGATCAACATAGGCTCTGGAGGTATTGCGCCGACAGCCAACCCTTTTAACAGCGGTTTCCAGCTCGTACGCATTATCGGAATACACTATACCGACACTGTCCTCAACTTGAAGAAAGTGCAGCAAGTTTTCGTAGCACTCCTCAGCGTTCTTGGAAACAGACGGGTAAACGTATCTGAAGTTGGACCAGACATCCTTAACCACGAAACCTTTTCCCCTTCGAACCCAAAATCTCGGAAGTCCTTAGTGATGACATGGTCAATCGTGATGTGGTCCCCGAATTTCTTGGATGCGATAGTGCTCGATCCTCCCTTCTTTCGTGCGTGAGGGGCCATCATTGTCGCCCTCTGGCACACTTTGCAGAATGGGTTCTTGGGTCAATGGGTGAATTTGTGGGCAGCAGTCTCGGCTTCTAGCCTGAGTTTCTCAGACCCTCCTACATCATCGGGTGCTTCATCGTGATCACTATCAGGTTCAGGTTCGGGGTTGTCAGGTGGTCTTTCGCAGACTGATATCGAGAGGATGGTTGGCTCTTCAAATTTGGCAACCTTTTGCCGAAGCTCTCTCATGTCGACCTTGTCCTCGATTTTGGACCATTCGTCTCCCCTGAAAACCCAAGTTGTCCTGATCACGAAGCTAAGATGTCTCGACGCAGGAGTCCTGAAGGTTTTGGGTCTGTGTCCTATGATTACCTTACGGTGTTCTTTAGTTGCAGTCCAGCCCGTCTTGCTTAACTGCTCTTTGGAAATGGCGATCGGAGGCACCTTGGAAATTGCTTCGTGGACCCCAGGGTCAAGGTGCTTACCTGGGTCCTCGTCTTGTTCGTCTTCACCGGCGGGGCGCAGCACCGGCGAGCCCGCAAGGGCCGCTATCTACTGAAAAAGCGAGCTACCCCCGTGGCTAAACACCCGGGAGACAACGTTGCTCTCATCGTCGATAGCTGGAGTGGCGACAGAGCCTTCTGCGATGACAGGGACCCTGCCTTTGAGCTTGCACTTCAGCTTCCTGCCGTCGGGAGTGACAAAGAAAGGGACCTTCCCCGAGTACCAGTGGAAGTCATAACCCTCATCCATGCATCTTCGCCCGACAGAACAAACAGGTGGAGTGCTTTCCAGAAGATAGCATTCAACTGGGAGGCTCAGTTCGGGGATGTCGACTTTGACAGATTGGTCCCCAAGTACTGGGCCGTTCGCTGTGATTAGGCTCACAGGTCATGACGCAGTTTTGACCTCTACGCTTGGGAAATGAATCCTAAGATCCTCCTTGCTGATGAGGTCTTCCTCGCTGCCAGTGTCAGCTAGAAACTCTAGACCGGGTACTATGCCTGAACAGGCAGGTGCAGGGGTGCGTTCACATGACTCGCATGTCAGATCTTCGCACATATAACCACACTTAGTAGGTACATCATTCATCATGCTGTTCACCACGGCTTCGAGTCGCTTAGCTTCAATCCTGGCACGATTCTGTTCTTTCATGCTCGACTTAGGGCAGTCCTCGGCGTTGGCGTAGGCCACGCTGAAACGACGTTTTCTCCTAATGTGCCTGCAGCCATCACCTTCCACAGGAATGGCCTTCATGACAGGTTCATCACAAAAGGTGACCTTCAGTGGCTCTATCTTGAAAGTGGACTTACCTATCCAGGCCCTAGAGGAGGGTTCTGGGGCAGTCTTTCTCCAGTTCCACGCCACTGCAGCGAGGGCTCTCCGGGAAAAATTTCTCTACCCTTACCTTGCTTTTAAGTCGTCGGACATCGATCGGGCAGTCGCTGCCGGGTGAGAACCA